GGGGGGATGTCAAGGAGAGAAAGAGGAAAACAGATTTCCACCAAAGATTCTCCACTACACGATCTTTGCTTCTACTTTCCCCAAATGAGGTGTCTATAAATAGCCCCATTCGTGCAAACAGAGGTGAAACGTTCCAGTGTGGGTGGTTGGTGGGTGCTCTGGAGTGGTTTGCTCCTTCTTTCCCATCAAACATCTATCGTCCTTACCTCTGCTCCTTCTTCTTTGTGTTTGTTACTCTCTTGTAAAACTTTAATAATCTTCGATACTTATTCGACCTAATTGTTTTGCGAGTGCTGTAACGCACTTACAAAAGCAAAATTATTTTAATTATAAAACCCAACAAACATCCCTACTCTTTCTAGGACATAATAGTGTCATCATTTCTCTATTTTTATCAAGACGTCTTTCTCACGTCTCATATTATGTCCTTAATCTCAGGCACCCCCCCCCATCCCACCCTTCCCGACTTTCCGTCTGTTTCCGTCTGCACTCTTAGAGTTGTTTGTATTATTTTGATTAACGGGGCTGTCTAAAAACGGTGTATAAGAATGCCAAGGACTAAACACTGGGCAGCTTTCGCATCTCAAAGAATCGTTTTGTTCCTCGGAAAAGGAGAAATCGCCAAGTAGTAAATGAATAGATATCGTTATGTTCAAAAGAAATAGTAGAAATGCTCAAAAATTTGTTCCAATATTTTATAATATGTTTTCACCTTTTCCTTTCTGTCATTATCACATTATAAGATTAAATCAAGATTCCTGGGTGCATTTCTCATGTAATATTATTTATCTTATCTTATCTTATCACATTCCAGGATCTGGCGTATTACGCAGACGCAAGCAAAGACGCCGTTATACAAGTGACCAAACTGGGCAATATGAAGGGCGGGAAACCTCACCTGCTTCTGGTCAGTATTGATGGACAACTGTCTCGTTTATGCCTTTCGTGACCTCAGTGCTTTCTTGTCCTATCTCCATTTTAATAACAGTGAAAACAGTTAATAACAAAGAGTGAGCTAGAGAAAAAGTGACTTTTTAAATGTTTTAAAAAAATGGAGACAGGGCAAGAAAGAAATGAGGTCACGCTTTGCTGCCTCCAGTTGTTTTTTTCCAATGTTTGTTTGTATGTTTTGTTGGTTATTGTTGTTGTTATTTGGGGTTTTTTTTACTTTATTGTGTTGTTTTTCTACACAAGTTTATTATGCTACAAAACTATGTGAACCAGCGTCTGGCGACTAGTGTAGGCGCTCCTCTGTAGTTCTCGGAATATTTTAGCTTAATAAATGTGTAGGGAGTTTTTCTATTTTACGTCGAATATCAGGAGGGTTTGTGTGCTGTTAGCACCTCTTTGGTGGGAGAGAGGCAGAGAGAGAAAGAGAGGAGGGGTAGGGGACGACAGAAAAACAGCGAGGGAGAGAGAAAGAGAGACAGTGAGAAAAAGACACACACAGAGAGTCAGTGAGAAAGGTAGAGAGAGAGAGAGAGAGAGAG